ACGAAACAAATATGAATTAAATTAAATCTTACTCACCAAGAACATTTATAATTATACATACTTCTCCTGCATATTCATTCATTTTGGGACCCGTTTCTATACGGCCAAGCCCGCATATGTAAAAATGTGGGCCTATTAATAAATTTATTTTTGAGATGATTTTTGGACTTAATTTCTAAGAACATGTAATCTCTAACATGGAGATCATGAATATGAAAAAATAAGTAAATTTTTAAAATAGAAATAATAATTCTAGCAAAAAAATATTTGGACCTTTAGTTTCCATTATTTTTAGATGAAACAACTACTTGCATTCATCTTCAAAATGGATGCTTTATACTTTTTGGAACGCATATAAACAATTTTCCTTCATTTTGTTTGGATTGAAGAAGCACGTGTACCATGACCAGCCCTAGAAGAAACTAAATAAATGTACTATCACGGAAGCGCGGTATACATGCCAACTAGACTTGATTAAGAATTTCCGTAAAAATGATAATAGGCTGGAAAAAGTTGATATGAGTTGTCAACTTTAGACTACTGAAGCACGGTGCACCTCCAAAATCTTCTAGAAGAGTGTTCTAAGGTCGGTAAGCCTTCCAATTTGATAATCTCAAACTCAAGATGCACGGATCTGAAGAAAAAAGAATTTCAGGCCCTAAAATTAATTTATCTAGTAACAAATTATCTGAACCATCTATTTTCAAGATTTCCAAATGTTTATAAATCTGCTCCATCTATACGAATTTTATCTCAACCGTCTATTTTCAAGATTTCCAAGTCTTTATAAGTCTGCTCGATCGATATCGTTTCTAAAATTTCAAATTTTATAACTAGGGATGAAAATAGATTTTCAAGCCGTCATTAAGTTTCTGACATTGAAACTACTTCCTCCAAAAAATATTAGAGGTGCACCTTATTTCTACTGTATAAGTAGGGCACCTCACACAAACCTTACCCTATGGGTTTGTAGGTGGCTTGGGGATGGGGCATCAAAGTTTTGTAACGCAAGGCCCATTTGTACATTGATTTGCCATCCCCCCCCCCCCCCCACTCTCTTGTTAGGCATTAGTCATGAGCCCTGCGACAAGTCCTACTTCCTTACGCGGCTTTGGGATGTATGAATGCTAGCTGGCGGATTAGAGATAAGTATTCGTAGATTCCAATTTAAGACTTATGACAAAGTGTGGTTTACGCTTTACAGTTGGGAAGATTTGATCATTACTCACTCTCATTTTAATTTTTCCCATTTAAACAAGCGTTTTTTCGAGCAAATTTTAGTGTCGAACTTCTATGTAATTGTATGGGCACGTTTCGTATGCATAAAAAATTTCTATTAAGTATTTTGATGTGGAAAAAACTTCCTCATGCGATTAGATGCGAGAGTTTTTTCACATCAATTGGTCCAAACGTATTTTTTACACCAATTAATCACCGCGCTTTTTTTCACAGTAATTCGCAGGCAATTGATGTGAAAAAGTCCTGCACCTAATCATACAAGGGAGTAACTTTCATGTGAAACCAATGAAAGTGGCAACATATGTTGGGGGCGCAATAGTCTATCACAAGCTTAATTGTCAAATTGATTTGGACCAAAAAGATTGCTCCTAATCCATTATCATTACTCTTTCTCTGAATTTTAGGGTCTCCTTGTCACCGACCTTATCATAATTCATAACTTTCTCAGCTTTAACACCACGAATATTCGGGTGTCTATGAAATCTTTACGTGTCGGAGTTACTTTAATTTTATCTCAATTACATGCAGGACACGCTTTCCATCCCTACAAAATACTCTCTCTTCCCCTCTCTCCCCCTCTGTCCCTCTCTCTCTTCACCTAGTTTTTTTTAGGCCCTAATGCATCTCCTCACTCATGACCACCAAAAGCCAAACGAACTTAAATGGTGTATGGAAAATAAGGACTTCATGGAAATAGGGATGGCAATGGATCTGGATCTGACCCGGGACCCACCAAGTACACCCGATGGATCCGGGTATGGATCCAATATTTGGATTTGATAGATTGAATCCAAGTCCAAACCCTGGACCGGTTGGACTTGCCCTGTACCCGTAAATTGTTGGAGATAAAATACTTTAAACCTTATTTGTTTGGGTATATTATGGATTTTATATAATAAGAACTTGTAGTTATCTTTTGCTATTAAACGACAAATCAGACCACTTGAAATCTAATGGTGGGACCTTGTTACCAATAATATGAGTATATAATGGTAAAAAAAAAAAAAGTTCATAGTAAGGATATCAATGAACCCAACCTGAACCTGGATCCGACGAGATAGACCTAATACCCAATGGGTATAGGTATAGGGTACAACTTTTGGACCCGATGGATCAGATCCAAATCCAAAACATGGACCTACATACTATTTGGGTTTGGATACGAGTCCACCCAGACCCGACCCGTTGCCACCCCTAACGCAAAGAATATGGTGCGTTAAATAACATGCACCACAAGTGTGTCATCATTAATGATGGCAACCTATAACGTACACGTCCACTTCCATGATTTAATTAGTAAGCCCAATTATAATCACCATCCTATCCCAATTACTAATATAAGAGCCCTCCCTGTATTCCAGATTAGAAGAACGAAGCAGTCCCATGTGAATGTGATGCATGCTACCTATGTGCATGGGCATAATGGGAAGTCACGCGTATTGCACGTAGCGCGTGCATCTCTATTCACCAAACCCTTGGGCAAAGCACAAGCCTGATCCTAGAGAGAGAGTCCGGGCTAGTGAGATGTTTTAGAGAGAGACAAAGCAAGTGAGACGTTTTAGAGGGAGAGAGGCTGGGGTAGTGAGAGGTTTTCCTGTTATTTACATGCGTGTACGCGTGAGCGTTGCATCGATATAGCAAAAAAGTGTGCGAGGGCAGGATCAGGGATCCGGTTTTAGGGAGAGAGAGTGATGAATGGGCATTGTGTGGGTCAAAAAAAAAGCAACAAAAAATCTTGGGTAAGACTTATCTGATCATTAGTTGAGCTCCTCACGGATGAAATATTCAGAATAGCAAGTCGAAATTTGGGGTTCACTTCCTCTCTCTAGATTTTTGCAAGACAAAGTTGGGTGATCATTCTCTATCTACATTTCCATGGTTCAACTCGGGCTGAGTACTCTGCCCAAGTCCGAGTAACTTGGTCCTAGTTGGGCCAGGTAATGTTCAAGTTAAAAAATGTTCAAAAAATTTAGAAAAAAAAATAAAAAATAAAAAAATATATATTTATATATATATATATTTATTTAAAGCAAAATTAAACAAAACACATCTAAATGAAGTAAAAAAACAGTAAAAACATATATTTTGAAAAATTAATTTATGAATCTTAAAAATAATCTAAAAACAAAAAAAAATATAAAACTAAGTATTCAGCCAAAATACTTTTCAATCTTTCCTAAAATGATTGAACGCATAAAAAAACGTAGGGTATTCGGGCTTGCTGCCAAACACTACTTTTAATGTCCCCCCTCTCTCTAGACATGGAGTACTTAAGTGCCCCATGAGCTTGTCATTCTTTGTTTCTCTCTCTATATGGCAATATTGATGAGTATTCTCTCTTAGATTTTTTTTGACTAATTTAAATATGGGCACAAAAAATAAGAAAGTACAAATTTTGGATAAAAATTATTAAAAAGATTGGTCAACATGTATTTTTATTTTTTTCAAAATTGCAAGGATGCCAACGTCTGACCGCTTTTCGGATTTTTTTGTTCTTTTAGGTTTTTTTCATTAACAGGGCAGTACGCTAATGTGAGGGGTAGTGCCTAATTCAGAAAGCAGTCTAAGGTTAGCATCCTCATACCCCTTTATTTTTTAGCAAATAAATGAACAAATACTGTCCAAAGATGCCAACCTCGAATTGTACCAAAGAATGCGGTGCGAGAATGGGCAACTCGAATTCTTAACAGAGTAAGTCTTTGCGGTCCAAAGATGTCAATCTCAAACCACTTTGAAAATCACAACAGAAGGTTGGTTCAATCTAGTCACTACCTTAAATATTAAAGCACAACTCTACTATCTAAAAATTTCAAAAAAAAAAAAAATATTAAAATGCTGACCAAGGATAGTATCCTCAGATTGAGAGGCACTTTTAGAAGAAATTTTTTTTTTTTTTTTTTTTATTCAGATTGTCCGACCTTTTATATAATATTAAAATAATTTATAATTTAATATTTGTGTCCGTACATAATTATATTTTATTTTAGATTGGGTGTGCAGAAGTGCCCATGAGTTTCTCTCTTCTCATGGTTTCTTGCACAGCAATTCACTCATCTCTGGGGTCGTCATCAGATGCCACGTCAGATAACAGCCTCTTTTCCCCCTCAAATGAGGGGCCCAAAGAGTCCCAGTGGCGACCAATAAATTGTGACATGGGTCAGTTAGAGCCAGGAAACCCGGGTTTGTTAAACGTTTCTTCTTTTCTCATCTCTTATTGAGAAGCTTCACTCTCCCCTTAACTGCACTACCAGAAGAATCCCACCACCTTTTCATAACAATTTTCTCTCTCTACCATTTTCTCTCTCCTCATTCTCTCCCCACTTTTTCCCTTTTGGGGAAGGCATATATAAGAATCAATGGGAAACAGGTTTGCTGGAGAACCGGAATGTTTGAAGTATCCCTTGTGTGAAGCTTGCAAACTAGTTGGAGTTCTCCATCTCTTTCTCTCTCTAATTTTCTCTCTCAAGCCTCCTCTCTCTAACTTATCTCTTGCACTCTCTCTCCCCTCACTCTAACTTTCTCTTTCTTGCCCCCTCTCTCTAACTTTCTCTCTCTCTCTAGCCCTCTCTTTCTCTCTAATTTTCTCTCTGTTCTTTTTAGCAAAATATTTGTGGCTAAAGAGAACCTGTTGAAAAATTGGTGGCGTGATGCCCAATTCTCGGTGAGATTTTTTAAAAGTGAGGACGTGTCGATTAGGAGGTGTGATCTATACCTATCTTTAAGAGCATCTAATCTCTCTCGGCCCCATTATATGCTATATTTTGGAGTGACCATAGGGACACATATCGCTGTGTTCTAATTGAGAGAGACTTATAGGGAGTTGCCTCAACGACAAGTAGAGTGTGTGTGTTTTTGGGTCCATAAATCTTGTTGCAATTTGCAGACACAGGTTTAGCGAGATGAAGATGTGGGGGAAGCTCAGGGCATCCAAACCAAGCTCCTTGTTTAATCAAGGTATATATTATGCTGTCGTACTATTTCTTCTTGCTCCCTTAGATCTAGGCGAGTCTGATTCAGAATCGCCTGAGTTACTCGAATTTGACAACTTATTGAGCTTATTGGAACCTTAACATGTCCAGAATCGAAACCCAAGTCCGTCTTTTTCAAACGTTACTTTAGATTTTTTAAAAAATATACATTTATTTTTTGAATTTTCCTCTTCTTAATATTTATATCGTATTTATTTATGTATGGGTGTTGTTTGTGTAAGGTTACAACCTTAATGGTAGATTTAAAGTTATTGTAATCCACACCGACCATTTTAATTGGGTAGCATAGATTTGGTGCATCTTTTGAAATAATTACACGTTTTAAGACAATAATATATATAACACGTCTAAGATAATTATATATCTACACCGCATAATTAAAATGAATGGTATTAAAATGAATGGTATGGATTACTGTTGCAACCTTATATAAAGGTTTTCCTTTACGTATTAACAAGGCAGTAACAAACATCCCCTTGTTTTTCAAATTGTAAAGATGAATCCCTAAAATATTATAATTTGAGATCTTGCTGATCTTAAGTTTCCAGGAATATGAAAACTAGCAGAGAAAGTAGTTGTCAAGGTGACAAAATTATATGTTTTGCTATTGCATGATAATCAAGTACCTGTCTAGTGGGGCACCAAATGACATGAAGGGATCTCATCTTTTATGCGAAATAATAATAATAATAAGATAAGAGCTTTGTGTACCACAGCTATCCATCGACTGCCTCAAGGATCAATGACTTTGTTTAAGTTAACACTGGAATTCAATTGATCCTTGTTAAGATTTCATGAAACTGTCTCTTTTTAGAAGCATGAGGGTTTATGCATGAGTACACATCTCTAGGTACACCTCAAAAAAAAAAGTACAAAAAAGGGTAACAATTCTCTTAAAATCTCTTTAAAAAAAAAAATTTAAATGGATTAATAGAATCCTTAGAAGACTAATGAAAAGCTATAAAAGATACAGTATTTATAACTTCAATATACCACATATATTTTATTTAAAAAAAGGAAAAATATGAAAGTGCCCAAATAGCATTGAAAACTGACAAAATCTTCTAAAGAATATTTCTAATCATTATGATTAATTTTTTTTAATTTTATTGTTCAACACCCTTTACTGAATAATGATGCATATAATCTAAATTTACCATTCTTGGATGGATGTCGGTTGTTAAAATTCCACTTTGTATCCTGTTTGGAGTTGGACGGTGAATGTTCCCTTCGGGTATTTGCCAATAAGTTTTCCAATAAAATTTAACCCACATTTACCACCCATGTAAGACCTTTAAATCCTACTAAATGCAAAACATAAGCTTGAAAAATCTCGTTTAGGGTAAATAATAAGTGTTTACAAAGTCCAATTAGTTGTAGTATCAAAACAGTAAGCTACACCTTTTCAGCATTACATCAATGACAACGGACGATTGGAAAAATTTCCATCTCAAACTCACCTAAGTAGAGATGAAATGGAGTTCAGTATGGAAAAATATGTAAAGAAACCATTCACTTTTAGTAAAATATGGAAAGAAACCATTCACTTTTAGTACAAGGATATCATAATCACTTTTATCCATTAGAACTTAAATTCATGGTTGTAAATGTACCATTGATTAGACTCAAAATTGAAGGAAAAAAAAATTGAACGTTATAATATACTCCAAGCCATTCAATTTGGCATCTAATGGCTAAGAGTGATTGTGACCTCCTTGTAATAATTGCAAACGGTTTGAAAGTATACAACATACATGTACAATATACAAAGTATATATTTCCTTAAATAAGTTTTAGGGCAAGACCACCAAATTAGGTGGTCGGCCAGGACCATATATTATTTTTCATTTAAATATTTGTGTTTTTTTCCTTTCTCATTGCCCTAACCTGATTCTCACTTGCAGAGAAGAGAAACACAACCACACGCCCTACCCTCAATGTAAATGAGGAGTTCTCCAAAGCTCTTCGCACTCACTCCTACACCGACTTCTTCAACAAAGCCGACCTCCACCTCCACCTCCACCACCAACAAATCCAGGCCTCGTCTCCACCACCAATGAAACAACCTCCCCCCTATCCTCCACTACCAACACCTCAGCCACCACCATCTTACACCCATCTCCTCCTAGAACCAAGCCAAGATACCATAACCACCATGCTAAACCACAAATGCTTTGCCAAAAAACCGCGCCTTTGCGAATTAGTTGCGTCGTACTTCACAACTAGCGCCGAGGCCTCTGACACATGTGTTGTGCTTCTCCAAAGCCTTGCCCAAGCTCGCTTGGACTGCCGCCTCCTACTCCATGCCCTACATCTCCCGGCCGAACAATCCATTCCTGTGCTAGATGCACTTGAGCTTTTCATACATCTGCCCAACCCCTTTGACACCATTCGTGACCGCCTCTCCGCCATACACCACCACCAAGCAACCGTACACAACATTTTACGTAGAGCACGCAGAAAACTAGCCCGCCGTGCCAGGCTCCTGGCAGCTGGCAAGCAGGTAGCAGGGTGGTGCGCAATGTTGGCCTCGGGCGCACTGGCAGCCCTTGCACTCGCACTCGCGGTGCATTGCTTTGTTGGTGTCGTGGCCGGGCCTCTATTACTGAGTGGTGTGCCTCTACTTCCAAAAAAAAAGAGCAGGGCAAAGGATATGGGCCTGTCTGGACAATTGGACACGGCGACTAAGGGTGCGTATATTTTGAACGCAGATTTCGACACTGTAGAGCGCCTCGTGGCGAGACTGATAGATGAAATTGAGCATGAGAAGGGGTTGATTGCGTTCTGTTTGGATAGGAGGGAGGAGAGGTGGGCTTTGATTGAGGTGGTGAAGCAGCTGAGGAAAAGTGAGTGGGGTTTCAGGCAGCAAGCTGAGGAGTTGATGGAGCACTTGTGCCTCTGCTTGCTCACCATTAACAGGGCGAGGATGCTGGTTTTCAGAGAGATTTCGGCTCACCTGGCTTCACATAGAGGGTGATAGTGCATCGCCATTGATTCTTTCAAGTATTCATTGAGTTTGTCGCTCGACAAGGTTTAGTGTTTTCAGGGAAGAACACTTGTGAATAGCTATTACTTTTACCCTAAACATATTTAAGTTTGCAATATGTAAATATATAGATAATTATACACTTGAGAGTTTATTTGTTGATTATAGATATGGGTATAATGTAATGTGCTGAGGTGCATTGAGATGGCATTGATTTGAAGTCAAAGAATGAGATCCTATTATATTTCTCTTTTTTCTTAGTTTTTTTCTTCTCTATCGCTCTCTCTTTAATTTCCAGAATACCGGTCCAGTTAAGAAACGTGGTATGATACTACATTAGTGTATGTCCAGGATAAGGACGTCGGACTGCTCACAGGACTGAGCTCCATGTGGTGGTGGCTCGAGGTCCCCAACCTCGGACCGTCGCTGTGGTGGTCTGAGATCTCATATTCGGTCTTTATTGTGGTCTAATACCACAATTAGTGATAGGGACCTCCAACCGGTCTCAAGTGCCCTACATTAAAAGACACTGCCCTACTATCAAAGTTGACCAAAAAAATAAAAAATAAAAACCAGTACCTTCTCGTTATTTCAGCTGGTTCCGAATTCAACAATAAAAAAAAGTTGTATAGTTCCATATCTTAAGCTGTATTGGAAAGAAATATGATACAGGATAGCCGAATTGATAGTCTAATTCCATCTTGCAGGGAAAGGGGTTAGGATCGTGGTGGTAGCACCCCACATCCTACATCCTGGTCCCCATGATTTTTATTCCCACCACTAACACCCAACTAATCCACTTCAAAAAAACGGGTAAGGACGTATTTTCTCCACTGAATTACAAAATCTCATCATCTAATCGCAACCACACGATAAGTTCTTTGAGATAGAAATTAGAGATTGAAGGGCACGATTAAAGAATAGAGATGAAATTAAGTTAGACCGACCATGTGCTCAGCCTCTGCTCAAAACTCAAGGAAATGTTTGTTTGACACCCAGCAGGACTGAGTTTACCTAATTTGACCACGTCTTTTTTTTGGCTCAAACAAAGTTAAAAAAGACACTTCCATCTATTTCTTTCTAAACCCCTCTCTCTTTATAATATGGGTTAGGGGTTTAAAAGATATGTATTGTAGGATATTTGGGCCATAGAAACTTATGCAAATAAAAAAATAACTAAATTTTTATTTTTCTATTTTTTAGGAATTAAAAAATATTTTATTTAGAATTTTAATTTTATTTAGGGTTATTTTTATCTTTTTTTAGTTATAAAGATTTAAGGGTAGAATTGAAAGTTAAGTTTTTCTTAAAAAAAATCATGGTTGAATTGGACATGATATGTTAGACATGTTTTTAAGATAAAAGGGAGAGATAAAGTTTAGTTTTTTATTTTTTTATTTTTATTATTACTCGTCTTAATTTGTATTAAAAGGGAACAGGTCCCTTCTTTGTAACGAAAGTGATCGGAAAAAAGATATTGTTTTGATCTTGTGATGGCCTCCCTAGTAGAAAGAAGGTATAATTTCTCAACTATTTTTATTTTATTTTTTATTTATTGTATTTTTCAATGAATTTGTTGGTATCAAATCAAAGAATATCATGTTATTGTAATGCCACCGAAAGTCAATCCTGCTATGAATATTCGCATGAGACAAGTTTTAGAAAATTTAACCAAAGTCATGGAAAATGTTTAAAGCAGAGTTCATGAAATAAATCAACGGTTGTAATTGTTAGATAATATTATTCCTCGAGAAGATAGTGCTCAAAATCATATAAATATGGCGCCACCTTTTACTTTAGATAGAAAAACTACCTCTACAATCTATTCAGATGTCAATCCTATTTATAACAACGAAATTGCGGTACAGGAACCACGATCTAATGAAAATCCACCAAATATTGATAGCAAGATCGATCTTCCAAAGTTACATGAGAAGCTTAAAAAAGAAATCAAGATTAAGCTCAATATCCCAATGTTCTACTTCAAGTTGCGTACAAAGTATTTGGTTTATTAAAGACAAAGTACTGAGAAAAATAGTAGGCCTACATCACCAAATATTCAATTAGCCTTAGAAGGACGTAAGCTCAAGGTCGAGCATGTCTCAACCCCAGAAGAATGATCCAAATAAATATTAATTTTTAACTTTTTATTTTTATATTTTCCAAGACATAAAAAATATTTCATTTGAATTTCTAGTTTTCTTTAAAGTTATTCTTGCTTTTTTATTTGTAGAGATTTAAGGGGTAGAATTTGAAGTTGGAAAAAGTTTATATAAGGATGTTACCTTATAATGTAGAACTACGGATGCCCCCTCAAAAATCCATCGAAAAGGGTAGTCCTAATGATGAAAAACCCTTTGATTGATCATCTCGACATCGAGATGTATGAATATGAAAAATAAAACGATTTTAAGTCTCAGAAATAGTGCATTTTACAACATATTATCTACACCGTCCATTTTCTACATTTCATATGTTTTTAGATCTACTTGATTTTTAACCATTTTTTAAATTTTTAAAATA